CATCAGTGTCAGGAGCAGTGTTTGGCAGTTTCTTTAAGATTAAATTCCAAATATCTTGGTCCAGATGGGAACTTGGGAAAGTGAGAGGTAATTGTCTTCCCAGTCATCTTGAGTGGATTTTTTTTTAAACTATATTTTATTGATTTTTTACAGAGAGGAAGGGAGAGTGATAGAGAGTTAGAAACATCAATGAGAGAGAAACCGATCAGCTGCCTCCCACACGGCCCCCACTGGGGACGAGCCCGCAACCATGCCCTTGACCAGAATCAAATCCGGGACCCTTCAGTCCGAGGGCCGACGTTCTATACACTAAGTCAAACAGATTAGGGCACTGCCTTATTTTAATGAATACTTTACCTTTCGAAGGGATGGTTTTTGGGTTCTCTGAGATTTTGTAACAAAGAAATTAATGTGTGTATTGTCTGTTTCAGAGGGTGGTCAGATACATTCTCAAACAAGATGTCCCATCCTCCTTAGAAGACGCTTTGAAGGTGGCCCAAGCCTACATGTTGCCTCCTGATGAAATCTACAGCCTGAGGGTTATAGACCTGATAGATAGAGACCAGGTGCGGATGTGTTATAGTGTCCTTTCTTCCGGGTGGTTTCTTTGTTAGCGAAACCCTTAAAACTCAAAACAACCAAATTATCTACATAGATTAACATAAGATAAAATTATACCAAGATAAAAACACTGAATGTTAGGTTGACCATGTTTTTCATATCTGTAGGGTCTGTAAAAGTGTTTTGTGAATAGCTAATGGGTTTTCACACTCTTTACTACTTAACAAAACTCAGATTCACGTCTTACATTTTCTGTGGTACCCTTTGATTCCAGAATAGGATATGGGCTTTTTATTTTTATTCAGAAGTGTCGTTATTTTTCTATAATTCAATAAGCATAGAATTACAAAGTACAAAGAGTGGCATTTTAATTTAATTTCTTTGTTTGCTATCATCAACAGAATGTTCATGTTTTTATCTTACCATAATCTAGTTTTCAAAATACCTTTTTTTTCTTTAAATAGAAAATGAGAAGTAAGTCCCAACTTACTTCTTTGTGCAACTTGTTTTTTTGCACAAAGGTGTCAGCTGTTTTTTTCCCCTGCAAACACTGTTTATAGGGTGAGGACTGTGTCCTTTTGCTGCGGTCTCTGCCCCCAGAGGAAGCTAAGAAGACTGCAGAAAGGGTCATTATATGGGCACGACTGGCAATGCAAGAAAAACCAGATGATTCTAAAGAGGTGAGATTTTCACTGAATAAAATGTAGGTAAATCTAATTTTTATGGAGAGGAAGCAATAGGGTAAAAGTACAAATGTGAATATCTGCTTTTCTCACTGCTAGAATGGCCTAATATTAAAATTCCTGTGTCAATGCACAACGTAGAAAAAAAGCCAGCTGGCCAGTGTGGTTCAGTGGTTGAGCATCAACACATGAACCAAGAGGTCACCAGTTGGATTCCAGATCAGGGAGAGAGAGAGAGAGAGAGGGAGAGAAACATTGATGTCATAGAGAACATCGATTGGTTGCCTTCTGTACATGCCCTGACCGCAGGTTGAACCTGCAACCCTTCATTATATGGGATGATGCTCCAGCCAACTGAGCCCACTGGCCAGGGCTGCAATCATTCTTGGCACATGCCTGGGTTGTGGGCTCAATCCCCAGTAGAGGGCGGGCAGGAGGCAGCCGATTGATGTTTCCCTCTCTCTCTCTCTCTCTCTCTCTCAAACTCAATAAAAAACATTTTTTTAAAAGAAAAAAACCATTTCAATAATAAAAAATTAAGTTGGTATAAATTCAAAAAGAATTTAAAATTTAAAAAAATAAAGAAAAAAGCCACATAGGGCTGCTTTGGAGCTTTGGCTTGAGCCCACACTAAATGAATTAGGATTAATTGAAGTCTTTGTTTACTTAGGAGTTTCCCATCATGCCTTGCAGTATAAGCAATTTTCCTCATTGTATGGGACATAGTCATTACTATCAAATGTCAGCCACAGAAACAGCATAAATATAAATTATCTTAGAAGGTTGAAACTTAGAAATACTTTCAAGAGAGCCAGTTCACTTCTTTATAGAGATAAGGAACCAAATACCTAATTTATCCAGGGTAGCTGAGATTTTTAAACCTTTAGCGATAGATACCTCCTAACCTGTCTCAGCAGTTCACATAATCTTTTTACTTTTAGGGAAATGAGGTGTTTGGTTTTTTTTGGCGGGGGGGGGGCATTTCTTGGTTCCCCAGCTCTAGGAGAGGGAAAGGCAAAGGTAACTGGTGGGCAGGGGGGGGCAGAGCGAAGTGGGGGGGGGGAGCGAGACCTGAAATGCGGTAATGCACTGGGAGTGCTCCTGAGAGGGACTTTCCAGCAATTTCTTATGGTTTTTTCTGATCCCATAGTTTTCATGTGTTTGTCATGTGTGTGTGCTACCAAAGCGGCAAATAAGGACGTAGATTTCATTTTGCATCTTTCTTTTTAGGACAAGGCCTGGAGAATGTCTGTAGTGAAGACATCAGTAGACATTCTTAAAGTACTGTGCGACATTCAGAAAGGTAATGTCTCCCTCTGTGCCCTCACCTTGGCTCTGTTCTAAAGTTTATCCTTTTCAGAAGGGAGCGTCAACGCCAATCTTATCCTGACCCACAGTTGTTCTGCTCTGATGGTTTTGCTGACCCCACCCACTTTTCTTCATGAAAAGTCTTCCTTGCCTTACTCTTTTGATTTGTAGCATAAGAATAGATGCATCTAAAATCAACTTTTCATTTGTTATGTTTCAGGAAGCTATTTCATGCTAGACTAGATTTCTTTGGTGCCTTGCACTTTTTATTCATATTTCTTCTTATCATTTGGTTATGATGGGGTGGGAACCTATTTAATCTTGAACTTAAATAAAATGATTAACAAAGTAACTCTTGGGCAGAAAAAAGCTACAATTTATTTCAGAAAAATTGCCATTTCTCTTGTAACCTGTAAGCTTCTCTTTTGTACCTTCTGAAAGAATAATTAGATTTCTTTTTGAACTTAAGTTGTCTTAAATCAGCATCTCAATAGACCTAGCTAATTAAAATTTGGCTTTTATAAATTCTGGTAATGTGGGAATTTGGATGTCTGCAATAACTAAAAATTTTAATTACAGACAATCTGCAGAAGAAGGATGAGTGTGAAGACATGTTGAATCTATTTAAAACTGTTGCTAGCTTACAGGTAAAGGTATTAAGCTGTACTGAACATTATTACTGGACTAATCAGTGCCTTTGACATAGATAGTCAGCCCCTCCTTTAAGTTTTCTGCACGGGCCTTCAGAGACTGGATATACAGTCTACTCTTTCATAGTGTCTTAAATATTTTTCTATATAGTTTTATTTTAGACAACTCAGCTTTCTTAAAAATTAATATTTGTTACCTTTGAATTGATTAACTGTCCTAAGATATGAGATTTGAAAAACAATTTTATTTTGGCTCCAGGGTCTTCCTAATGTAAAAGATTGTATAAATAAAAGGACTTTCAAAGTTAAGGGATAAGTTTATCAAATTGAAAAAAGTAGAGGATCTCTTTGTGAAAAGTTAAATTAACGCTGGCAGATTTAACTCTCACAGTACAGCCCATGGAATCCCAAGGGACCCTGGAACCCTCTCTGGGGGTCCATGAGATAAAAACTACATTGACAGCAACAATAAGGAATTGTTTGGGGTGTTTTGTTCCCGGTGCTTTTTACAACGGATGAACTAAACAGACTTGGGGCTTTGTCTTGCTTTCCTTGCGGCAGGAGAACTTTGAGGTCTTTCTTGCATTTGAAGATTACAGCAATCACTCCCTGGTAGCAGAGCTCCGTGAACAGTACATCAAAGCTCAAGAAGTCGCGCAGGCAAAGCACAAACCCAGGGGCACTGCAGAGCCAGCGGCGGCCAAGAAGAGCCTGAGCACCGAGTCCAAGCTGCACCGACAGGCCCTGGCCCTGCAGGTGTCCGAGCAAGAGCTGGAGGCGGAGCTGACCTTGAGGGCCCTGGGCGACGGGAAGGTGGGAACGGCGCTGAAGAAATGCAGGTGCGTCCGGCTCCGCACCCCACAGCTCCTCGGCGGGAGCATTTGCTTCGTTTACTTCCACGGTGGTCGGGGAGGGCCAGTGATACCTTCCTTTTCCACCACCGCGATTCTCGGTTTCTCACCCTGCGAGCCTATTTTGGGTTTCTGGGTCCGGAGGTGGTAGCATAGAAGACACCTGACTAACACTGCATAGTTAGGTAACCTCACCTTGCATCTGACAGCTAACAGCATCCTAAACAAGTTGAGGGAAAAAACGAACTAAAGACCATGAAGCCATTTTAAAAGTTGGTGGTGGTTGTATCTTGACCCAAGAAAGACAAGTGCATTTACCTTCGATAAGTGTTCTAACTTCCAACTCTTCCTTTCTCCCAAAGAGACTTGTTTAAGTATCACTGCAACATGGACACTGGGAAGCTGCTGTTTCTGACGTGTCAGAAGCTTTGTCAGATGTTGGCTAATGACATTCCGATGACGGCACCGGTGGGACTAAGCCTTCCTTCCGAAATACATGACCTCGCGTGCCAAGCGGCCACCATCTGCAGTCCAGGTGACAAGATTTGTCCTACACAGAGTTTGATCTATGGTTCATGTCCTACTTACCTCCCAGACACTGCCCCTTTACATGGACATTGCGGTCACGAGAGAAGAGGTCGGTCGTATCTCCATTTTACAAAGGGATGATTATGATCCATTCTCTGTGGGGATTCTTAAAGCATCACCAAATAGTAACGATGTCATTTCGGACCGTGACGATGTTCACTTTCCTGGACTGTGAAATTCCTTGCCCCACCCCCATACCTGGTCTTACTTTCCAGCCAAGCTTAAGAAAACCTTTGATGTGTGTTACTTAGGGTTATGTGGGAACCTCTCTGCTTGGTGGCCTGCCTTAGAATTTGTGAGTCGTGGTTATTAACAGGTTGTCAGTATTCTAAATAAGTGAACTATTAGTTAATGATTTTTCTTGATTGTCTTTCAGATTTCCTCCTAGATGCTCTGGAACTGTGTAAATACACGCTAATGGCGGTCGAGCTTTCCAGACAGTGCCAGATGGACGACGGGGGGATCCTGATGAAAGTAAATGCTTTTGAATTTTCTCCTTAAGCCAAAGCTCTGCCACTCCACACGCACCACTTTTAAGTCACATGCATCGTCTACACAAATACTGACTTGTCTCTTGTAGTTTCTTATTCTGGACCAGTGGGCATGAAGCACTTCTGTTTTCCAGTCACATTTATTGCCTCCAATTTGCACAGTCTTAGGAAATATTGGGCCTCAAACAAGGCATTGTCCTCTGAGCATTGTCCTTATCTTAGGCTAACAGTTTAATTAAAAATGGCATTGTTGCCGTAGCCGGTTTGGCTCAGTGGATAGAGCGTCAGCCTGCAGACCGAAAGGGGAAAAATATCCTCGGGTGAGAATTTAAAAATTAAATAAATAAATAAATAAAATAACATAAAATGGCATTGTCGGCCTGGCCAGTGTGGCTCAGTGGTTGAGCATCAACCTATGAACCAGGAGGTCACAGTTCAATTCCCGGTCAGGGCACATGCTCGGGTTGTGGGTCAGATCCCCAATGGGGGGCATAGTGCTTAGACGTTATGCCCCCGAGCAGGAGGCAGCTGATCAATGATTCTCTCTCATCATTGATGTTTCCATCTCTCTCCTTGTGAAATCAGTAAAAATATATTTTAAATAGATATTAAAATAAAATGGCATTGTGATAAGCCATCGACCAGAAGGAACAGACTATGTAGTCATATTTGACCATCAAACTGCATTTGACTCTACTATCCCTGATTCTGGATTCTGCTTGGTGAGGATAGTTTTGTGTGCTTTGGAGTTTCCTTATGGGCATCTTTTCTGTGCGATTTGGCCTTCAGACTTCTTTTGGAACACACAGAGACCCGTATGAAGAGTGGTCCTACAGCGACTTCTTCAGTGAGGATGGGATCGTTCTGGAGTCGCAGATGGTGCTCCCTGTGATTTACGAGCTGATCTCATCACTGGTCCCTCTAGCTGGTAAATCCCCTTCGTGGCCTTGCTGTCTGTGTATCTCTGCTTTATTGACGGGAGTTTAAACTATAGAGGTTTGGAACTAGAACTACAACAGAGTAATGTAGACGCACCTCCCTGGCATCATGCTGAGCAAAAGAAGCCAGGCACAAAAGAATGTCTCTGTGATGTGCACGTGTGCTCCACGGGAGAGTTATTTTCTTGATTTTTATTTAATTTATTCTCTTGTAGAAAGCAGGAGACATCCCCTGGATTCTACGAGTTTACCATACTGCTCCGTCAGTGAAGGTATTTGACATGAGAAATGCACGGCCTTTGTATGATGATTTTGTAAATATACCAATGTAGAAATTCCTTGGAATCCTGAATATGACTCTGACTCATGTTCTTAATATAGTTATTTATTTACTAGAGGCCCGGAGCACGAAATGCGTGCATGGGTACGGTCCCTATGCCTGGCCTGCAATCAGGGCCATGATCAGGGCCACCTTCCCTGGCTGCCAGCAGCCAGCCCTGCCTCCACCTCCCCCTAGTTCCCGGTTCGCCATGGGGTGATCAGAGCCTGCCGGCTGGGGAGAGGGACCAAGAGGTTGGCCATTCCTGCCTGCTCACCGGCCCCGCCTCCGCTGCGGGCCGCCCTCTGTGTGTTGGGTGACCGGCAGGGCAGGAGCCTTGGCCTGGTACCGCCTGCATCCCCTGCCACCCACCCCCTGTTGGGTGATGGGAGCTTGCCGGCCGGGGAAAGGAACCAAGAGGTGGTCAGTGCACCTCATAGTGACTGGTCGAGCGATCATTCTGGTCGTTCTGCTGTTGGGGTCAATTTGCATATTACCCTTTTATTATATAAGATTACTGTTACATTGTTATTCTTTCAAAGGGTCAGAAAACTATGTGATTAGCTTTATAGCCTTAAGTTTTTGAAGCTGTTCATAAATTTTGGTTTTCCAAGTGGAGAAATGGTTTCCTCAGGTAATGATTTAAGCATCTCAAAATAGGCAGGTCATAATCAAAATACCTCATTATCTAGCGGACTTTAGATTTTCTGGCTTAAATCAATCTGCAATGAAGAAGTAATTCTGTCCCTCAAAACAATTTCTAATAATATGATCTAATTTGTTTAAAAATACCTAAATATTAAAATACTTTTATCATTTCACAGGAGACGGCCTTACTTTTTTACCCTGTATAAATTCCATCTCCGCCCTGCTTCAGAGCCTGCAGGAATCGAGCCAGTGGGAGCTGGCCCTGAGATTTGTGGTTCTCTCATTTGGGACCTGTCTTCAGTACTCTGTGTCAAACTTCATGGATGCCAATTTGAGTGAAAAGGTACAGTTTGATTTTGTGGAATATAGAGAACAACATAGACTGATGAACAGTGTCAGATCCAAAGACAGAGAAACAGCGATCAGACTATTAATCCCCAGAGGGAAAGTAGGGGAGGGTGGGGGTAAGGGGAAGAGATCAACCAAAGGACTTGTATACATGCATATAAGCCAAATCAATGGACATGGACATCAGGGGGATGAGAGCATGAGGGTGGGGGGGAAGATAGGGGTTAATGGAGGGGATGATGACACATTTGTAATTCCTTAACTAATAAAGAATTCAAAGATAAAAAAAAAAGAAAAGGTACAGTTCGAGAACAAATACTTTGGGTGACTCAGACACAGAAACACTGCCAAACAAAGGCATTTAGGGTCCACATTTTCCTATTGGGCTCTATAACAAGGAAATCAATAATTCGTCAGATTTAAGAAACATTTGTTGAGTGTCCCTAAGATTCAGGTGGTGGTCAGATCCTTGCACACATTTCATATTCAGTCTGTGCAACAACCCCAAGACTCTCCATTTTCCACATGAGGAAACCTCCGAGGCCAGGGATCCCATGAGGCCACAACTCTCGTCTGCTGTTCGTTCTGTTGTGGCCCAAACTATACTTATTACCTGACAGCATCAGGGAACAGATTCTAGAAGACCAGCTGCCTGTTCGTAACTTGCCTTTGGAGCTCAGGGATTGGTCTCAGGGATTGCGATCATTGCTACTACTCTGTTGCTATTTATTAAATAACAACTCTTGAAAAATGAACTTCATTGAAGTCTAGCTTTCAAAATTAAAATGCCCATGTTTGAAGTTTATCACCCAATTTATTTGCCTTGTCAACAACACCACGATTAAGATATAGGCTAAAAAGTAAAGATATAGCCTCAAAGGTATAGACAGATTTAAGAATCTAGATATTTGAGCCCAGCCAGTGTGGGTCAATGGTGAAGTGTTGACCTTAGAACCAGGAGGTCATGGTTCAGTTCTCAGTGAGGGCACATGCCCAGCTTTCGGGCATAATCCCCAGTGTGGGGCATTCAGGAGGTAGCTAATCAATGATTCTCTCTCATCACTGATGTTTCTATCTCTCTCTCCCTTCCTCTCTGAAATCAATAAAAATATATTTTAAAGAAAGGAAGAAAGAAAATCTAGATATTTGAAAAGGTTCCTTTTTGCCCTTTCCTACTCCGTTCTCCCCCAGCCCCAGCTCTCTGTCATTATAGATTAATTGCCTGTGCTTTTTCATATATTGATGAAAGTTTTCACAATGATGCATAGAAGTGGACCTAACAAGTCTTTTGTTCTTTTCTAAAAGCTGTTTGGAGAGGCCATGTTAGTTAATTCAAGGAAAGTTATGGTGGCATTGAAAGAGAAAGCCATTACGTTTGTCAGGGGAAATGCTACAACACTGTTGCACAAAGTGAGTATTTGTTCTTGGTAAGCTGTTTTGTTTTCGGGTGTGTTTTTTCCTCTCTCTTCTGGTTGCTTCTGCTGTCTCAGGTTAATAGTGAAGAGGGAGCCCAGCCCACATGGCTCAGTGGTTGAGGTCACAGTTTGATTCCCGGTCAGGGCACATGCCCAGGTTGCAAGCTCGATGCCAGTGTGGGGCGTGCAGCAGACAGCCAATCAACAATTCTCTCTCATCATTGGTGTTTCTATCTCTCTCTCTCCTATCTCTCTATCCCCCTCCTCTGAAATCAATAAAAATGTATATATTTTTTAAAAAGAGTGAAGAGGGGGAAGGGATTTGAAGAAAGTGATGAGATAGCCATTCAAAAGAAAAGGTAAGGTTTCTGTGCCCTAAGGAGCACAATCCTTTTTTTGTTTGTTAATTCTCACCCAAGGATATTTTTTTATTGATTTTTAGAGAGAGTGGAAGGGGGGGAGAGAGAGACAGAGAAACATCGATGTGAGAGAGACACATCAATTTGGTTGTCTCTTGCATGCACTCTGACCAGGGCCAGGGATCGAGCCTGCAAATGAGGTTCATGCCCTTGACCAGAATCAAACCTGGGATGCTTCAGTCCGCCGGCCGATGCTCTATGCCCTGAGCTAAAACTGGCCAGTGCTAGAACACAATTCTTATAGTTGCTTTTCTTAAACTTAAATATTGATAAAGGATATTAAAACTAAACAAACACGTTGGAACTATGTTATAATAACTAACCTTGTGTGAAACGATTGTTCTTTAATAGGGTCTATAATTAAGTTTAATGACGAGCTTTTAGAGCCCATTTTCTGTTTTGATTGTAAAGAATTTGCTTCTCTGGGTGCTTTCTTCCCACAGGTATTCAATTGTCGCCTGGTGGATCTCGACTTGGCACTGAGTTACTGCACTCTCTTACCCCAAAAAGACGTGTTTGAAAGTCTCTGGAAGCTCATCGATAAAGCATGGCAGAATTACGACAAAATTTTGGTATGACCTGGGAGCGCACACCGTTAATACTTAAAATATTGAAGATTTAGCCCAGCCGGCATAGCGAATTACGACAAAATTTTGGTATGACCTGGGAGCTCACACCGTCAATACTTAAAATATTGAAGATTTAGTCAGTCTATGATCCAGAAGGTCAAGGTTCGATTCCCAGTCAGGGCACATGCCCGGTTTGCAGGCTCAATCCCCAGTGTGGGCATGCAGGATGCAGCCAATTGATGATTCTCTTCATTGAGTTTTTATCTCTCTCTCTCTCCCTCTCCCTTCCTCTCTGAAATCAATAAAAATAGATTTTTAAAAAATATTGAAGATTTAGGGGGAAAAGAAGTTGGCTTTGTCATCAGATCTTAAGATTTCACAGAAGGAGTGTCATACTACCTCACTTGGTTTCTACCAGCTTTTGCTTGACTAGTGGCACTTTGGTGAATGTATGCAGGTCCTAAGCATTGCTCAACCAAAAGAATTACAATGTTTTATTTCTTAAAATCTGTACGCAGCCATAGACCTCATCTCTTATGTTTACTCTAGTATATTGGAGTCCTTTGAGCTATGACCTTGTTCTTTTTTGTAGGACAAGGTTTAATTGATGCAAGATTTCTCTTTGACGTGTGTGTGTTTTAAAATTTGCCCTGGGGGAGGGGGAGTTGCTTTTGCAGGATAACTACAATTTGGTCTTTTCTTATGAAGGAAAGCCAGGCTAAATTGCTGGCATCATGCCAAAAGCTGAATGACCTGAATGTTGTATAAGCAATGACTGTGTACAGAGCACTATAGCATGTCACATTATTAGCCCAAAGAAAGGTTATGATTTTTATTGTTTGTTTTCATCTAAAAGGTGTTGGTACATATTCTCTGTGCAGTTGAATTTTACTTGTTTTCATTTTTTAGGCAATATCTCTGGTGGGCTCTCAGCTGGCCAGTCTCTATCACGAAACAGAAATGGAGCTCAGATTTCGTGAACTCAGTACTGATGCCCAGTGGGGTATTCGCCTTGGTAAACTTGGTGTAAGTATTCTCTGTGGCACCGAAAATTCCATACATTCTAATATCTACCCCAGTGATGGCGAACCTATGACACGTGTGTCAGAGGTGACACTCAAACTCATTTTTTTGGTTGATTTTTCTTTGTTAAATGGCATTTAAATATATAAAATAAATATCAAAAATATAAGTCTTTGTTTTACTATGGTTGCAAATATCAAAAAATTTCTATATGTGACACGGCACCAGAGTTAAGCTAGGGTTTTTCAAAATGCTGACACGCCGAGCTCAAAAGGTTCGCCATCACTGATCTACCCAGTTAGAAAACTTCAAAGATCTCATTCTTTACTTTTGGGGAGAGAAATATATATACATATAATGTGTGTGTGTGTATAAATATATATGTATATTTGTGTGTGTGTATATATGTATATGTATATATGGTATATATGTATATATATGTTTTATATGTGTGTATGTACATATTAAGTACACTCACTGGTGCTTTCAAAGAAGTAGAGGCCTTTTGTCTCATTTTCTTTTCTCTATATTTTTAAGGAAATTAAGAGGCTTGACATCATTTTCATCTGTTTACCTTTCTCATTTATAGGAAAATGTCTAGCATTAATTGACATTTATACAATTTCAGGCCTAGCCTTTAGCCTTATACTTTTGTGCTGCTATTACTTGGTTTAAGATAATATTAAAATGTATGTACAGGTGCAGTAAGCTTTAAGAACTCCGACTAGGGAAAAGTAAATGGCCCTTATTTTTACTTTTCAAACACAAACAAAATCCTGTTTTCTTTACTATAAATGTAAAACGTTTTATTTAATTTGCAAATAGTTGACCTACCAAGAATGTAACCACTACAGAAATGGCATGTGTTTTGGGGTGTAACTCCTGTGCAGTCATGGGACTGGTTGTTGCTAACAACCAGACTTACCGATGAAGAGGCAAGGGTTAGTGTGACCGAGAGAGATTTAGGATCCACCGCACAATATACCTGAAGTCTCCGAATGGTGGTCAAGCTGGGTAGTGTGCTAAAAATCAAGTGGGGGAGCCTCAGGAAAATGCTTTTCTATTAAAAGGCACAGCACAATGGTGCCCTTATTCTAATGCATTTCGGTTTAGTTGAGTTTTTTGTTTTGCTCTTTTTATTTCTAGATTTCTTTTCAGCCGGTTTTCAGGCAACATTTTCTCACCAAGAAAGACCTCATTAAAGCTCTTGTGCAGAATACAGATATGGACACAAGCCTCCTTCTGGAATATTGCAGGTAACTCTTAAAACTTGAATGGTATTTTTGCTGTTAGCCATACAAACTGTGGCAATCCTTACCGTGAGAACACAGTAGTAAGGATGGTTATTACTGTGGTCCCCAGACCTCTGATGTTTCTCCTCCCCACCCCCTCACCCCCCGCCACCCTAATTTGGGGATCCAGCCCAAAACCCAGGCATGTACCCTGACTGGGAATCAAACCGTGACTTCCTGGTTGATAGGTCAACACTCAACCACTGAGCCACATTGGCTAGGCATGATGTTTTCTTTTGCTCATCCTCAAACTGAATAAATCCAGGATTAAATCCTCTTAAGATAACACCTTTTTGCCCTAACTGATTTGGCTCAGTGAATAGAGCGTCGGCCTGCGGACTCAAGGGTCCCAGGTTCGATTCTGGTCAAGGGCATGTACCTTGGTTGTGGGCACATTCCCAGTAGGGGGGGTGCAGGAGGCAGCTGATCGACGTTTCTCTCTTATCGATGTTTCTAACTCTCTATCCCTCTCCCTTCCTCTCTGTAAAAAAAAAAATCAATAAAATATATTTTAAAAAAAAGATAACACCTTTTTAAGTGTTTTCCCAAACTCCCCTCATGATAAGCATCACCTAGGACACATGATTTAAAAAATACAGATTCCTGGGCCCCTCCCTGGTGTTTCTCCAGCAGGCCTGGGCAAAGGCCCAGGAATCTGATCCTTAATAGGAGCTGCAGATGACTCCCACAGTCAGGGAAATTTGGGAGTATGCTTTTGAGCAATTAAACTTCTAACTCAGATCAATTTAGGAGCAAGGTAATCTTAAATAAAAAATCAGTGAAAAGTAGGATTTAGGAAGAATTTTAAAAAATAGTTTAATAAGTGAATAAAAAAATTAAAGATTAAATGTTACAGATAAAATTTACTGTGATGAGTAGGAATAGATGATTGGTAATTTATATCTTAGATGTTTCTAATAGAATGACCTGTTTCCTGGCACATTACTAGTTTCAAAGAGCTTTCACACATCTCTTAATTTTTACAGTTTTTATTGCATATTATCGTCAATTTACATATCTCTTGCCTAGATAGACTTCAGTCTCAGCTTGAGCATGAATACCTTCAGTTTTAAGAAGAGCTGTGTGCTTGCTCTCTCTGGTTCCAGAGACCCTGCTAATAGCCACAAAAATGATCTTGGACCACAGCCTTCCAGACATATTGGTCATTTGAGGGGTCCTGGTGCCAACAGGCCTCCCCAGGCCCCAAGATGGCGGAAGAGCAAGAATAACCTTTGATCTTTTTTTAAAGGCAATAGTTAACTCCAGTGACAGGTAGATTAGCTGATTGATTATAAGACTGAACAACAGGCCCTAACCGGTTTGGCTCAGTGGATAGAGCGTCGGCCTGCGGACTGAAAGGTCCCAGGTTCAATTCCGGTCAAGGGCATGTGCCTTGGTTGCGGGCACATCCCCGGTAGGAAGTGTGCAGGAGGCAGCTGATCGATGTTTCTCTCTCATCGATGTTTCTAGCTCTCTATCCCTCTCTCTTCCTCTCTGTAAAAAATCAATAAAATATATTATTAAGAAAAAATGACTGGACAACAGGAGGGTTAGATTTCAGCGATAGGAGCAGGGACTTAAGTTTTCCGAGATATTTGTGTGGAAACGTGTGCATTTGCAGGGATTGGTGTGTAACCGAATACTTCTCTTAGCACCTTTCAGCTGAACTGTGATGCAGCTCTTCAGCTGTTCATTGAAACTCTGCTCCACAACACGAACGCCAGCCACAGCCAGGGGGACGCGAGCTCGGCCTCCACAACGCAGCAGCACGCCAGACTCCTGGCCAAAGCCCTGGAAATGGTGCCTTTACTGACGAGCACCAAAGACTTGGTCATCAGTCTTAGTGGGATCCTCCATAAGGTAGAGTGTGGTGAAGTGAACGTGGTCTTAGTGGCATACTCTCTAAGGGAGAGGCCTGGTGGAAGGAGCACATCAGGTCATTTTAAATGCCCCTCTCCCCTTAATTAATTAGCTACATAGGACCAAATTGGAAATGTAAGCCCTGCGTTATTTTAATAATTTTTACTTTTGAAGTAATTTTAGATTTTTAATATAGCTTAATACAGCAGTTTTTCTTTTTTAAAAAAGTAGATACAGCCTTTTTTTCAGATTTTAATAAATAGCACATATTCTTTGAAAAACTAGAGAGAAAGGTATAAACCTAAAAAGTGAAAAATTTTAAATAGATAAAAATGTTAATAGCTTGGTGACTATCTTACACTAAATATATTATCCTATTACTCTCTTTTTTCACTTACTATATTGTTATTAAATGTCAGTAAGTATCCATCTATCTCATTTTTGACAAATACATATTTGTTATTCCACAATAGGGATGAAATCTGTGTTTTATCAGGCCTTTATAGATGGACGTTTAAATTATTTGTAAATTTTTTTTACTATAAATTGTTACAATGAATATCTTCATGCATACATGTTTGCCTTCTTGTTTAATTATTTCTGTTAGGAGATCTGAGAGTTGGAATTTTTAGGTCAAGAGGTAGTTTGGTGGTGGGATGAAGTTCGAAGGAAGGGGAAATAAGATTCTAAGAAACACTTCAGTTTTATATTTTGCTTGCACTTCAGCCAAAAATTATATATAACTTGCTCAAAATTTCTAGGTACCATAGAGATCATCTTCCCACTTTGTTCAGTGTTATTCGTGTGCCTTGGGTTGGCATTTAAAAAATGAAGAAAAAAAAACTAATGATGTGTAAGTAGGAACAAAGAACAAAGAGAATATTCCCTTTTAATGAACATATACATGCCACCCAATTAAATATTCATGTCTGTGTATGATTAGAGCTGGAATGGGATACCTTAACTAATAATAATAAAAAAATGAAAAATAAAAAAAATAAAAGAAGCACTCTAACCACTGTTTAGAGCTGTTGGTAGTTGATTAGAAGCATAATACATTGAAGGAGAACAAAAAAAAAAATTAGTTATCCGATGTCTTACTGGGCGGTCTTTTGAGGTTCCTTAGAACTCCACATTTTATTCTAGTTCCTTTTCTTTAAAAGGGACACAGAAATAAAAAGTTTTTTCGTGCTTCCCATATTTTTATCATTTACCTTAATTCAGTTTTTGCTGTACTGAGGCGATTTAAATCTAAGAGAATGAAGTCAGAAACAGACTGATTTGGAGAAATTAAGGCAAAGCCTTTGATCTCCAACAATAAACATAGAT